GAGAAGCGAAAAGCGATAAGCGAACAATACCTGTCGAAAATTGATTTATCGTCTGTGCCTGTTTGTTTCTGAACTTCCAAAACTTTGAAAATTTACAGCTTCCCGCACGATTTAGGACGTCAAAATGTAATCCATCCTACTTTCGTCTTCCGAAGTCCGTTTAATATCTGAATTTGCGTTTTGATTTTGAAATCTTTGGAAGAATAGGTACCACGTCTTTTTCCAGCCGTACCTAGCTTTTATGTCACGTATCAATAACAAAGTCGTTGATACTGTCATTCAGTTTTCTTTCAATTATCACAGATAATTAAATGAATTGCAGGATGTGCAATGTTCCTCGGTTAACTCGCCCTGTTCCATCCCAGTTTGTCCACCATATGCCGACATATGCCATCGGTCTGGTTTCTGCATCGGTTACTGCAGCGGATGGAGCCGTCCACTCTAATGCCGCCGTGAGGGCAGGTCTGAGGTGACGGGCCTTTCGCAGCCGCCGCGGCCGACTCAGCCGTGCGGGCTGCAGCCGGCACTGGGAGACAGCCACCTGTGCGACCTCTGTGGTAACAGGCTGTGTAGCGGGACGGGCGGCGGCGGGCGGCCGGCTGGGCTAGCAGACGGGGTAGCGGCGTCTGCAGCTGTGGAAATGGTACACCAGCTGAAATTTGTAGGCCATGGGTGATGTGCGTAGCAAGTGCCCGGTTATCCTCACGCTGCCGCTCTGTGCCGTCTAAATGCAGCGTCGTAATAGGATTTAGGAATATGTGAACTGTGGGTGACTGTGGTAGGTACGCTGGTGACTTTCCACCACTTTCCGTATGACCATATAACTTATAAGATTTAGGTTTCCATTGTTCTTATGCTCTCAAATATGGTAGTTACGTTTGACGTCAGGTATCAGGAAAGCTAAATGTCGCTGCGACTTGCGAATTGTTTGTTTGTTTTGTTGGGTTAGGCCCTTTCGGTCGACAAGACCATTGCAGAGCCGGAAGGATGATAGGAATTAGGGGGAGACATTGGTCTGGGCAGGCACCCTAGTGAGTCGCCGGGGCTGAGCCCGTCCAGAGGACAGGCCACCCAGCCCCAAGGCACTCACTGCACCCGGCTACGGGGTGCGCTCCCTCAGGAGCAGCGATGCCGCTCCAAGGGAGCAGCCCGCATGAGATAAAGTTGCCTGCCCAGCCCGGAAGGGGGTTGTGGCGTGGAGGAGAAGGATTTCAGTATCCTGAGGATAGAAGCACGGACAGGTGACTTGCGAATGCGACTGGTAAACCAGTATAGGTATAGGTAGGTATACCTACCTACAAGGGAACCTCGTATAACAGCCTACTTACCATCTTGATGAAGAGGCCAGAAGATCTGTACCTACTTCCGACAGTGAAGCATCCATATACCATGCCTATGCATCTGAATGCTCTATCGCTCAATATACATCGAGATATGCTTAGTGCCTACTCAATGCTCAGCAAGAGGCACATCAGAAGGGATACGACAGCGCCGTCTAGTGGTAACAGGCGACACTACTCGTTCTGTTCGCTACCACCAGGGCCCTCACAGACGTCAAGGCTGGCCTCCTTGCTAAGTGCATAGGAGGAAGGTTGCTAGACCGGTTTGGTCCGAGCACAATAAAGCCTGAAGCAAATCGCTGAACCAGTCGCTACTGGCTGCATCCTGCTCTGCTTCTACGAATATTTAAAGGCGAAATCAGGGATTAGACTGCTGGACGGGACGTTTACAGCAGGCCGTCTATTGATTTCACTGTGCACATGGGTCCTACATAAGTAGCATGTGGGGCCCGCTGATATGCCAACGGTATTTGTTTAAGCTTTAATGGTAACGCTGATTGAAATGTTACTTACGGTAAGGAGTGTTTTAGACTGGCATTGGAAACAATGCAAAAGCTGAAGGTAGGCATGCTGGCATGAGGAAAATCGGCAGTCTTTCCAGTCCGACCAGTCTCTTGCTAGCCGGGGGTGTAGGTACATTAAAAAACCGTGAAGGTAATCGTCATGCTTTCGCTGGTCAGAGGCGCATCCAGGAGTTGACCAAAGAAAGTCGGTGCTACAGGATAATGGAAGCGAGGGGCTGAAGCAATATTTTCTATCCAACAACATGCCATACAAATGTACCTATGCAAAGACGGTGTTAAAACATTTCCTACCATGTAAAATCAGGCCTGATTTGATACATTTATTTCATAGTTTATTGTATTCTCTTTCGGCAAAGCGTTCACTGATGTGCGTAAAAATGACGCCGTGCTAGAGCGTCGTTTACGGATACGGTAGGTATAGATACGAAGGAGAACATGCATCAGTGACAACTTAAAATCAGTGTGAGCCGTGCTGGAAGACGATCCTGTCCGTCCACTAACGTTCCATATGAAGCTTCATGTGTCGCATGACAGTCTCCTGATTACACCGAGTGCCACGTTGCAGTCGCTTCCTGTCTATGCCTATAATATGCCACGTTGCAGCCTCCTGGCTAGATTCGTTTGGGTATAGTGGTCGCTGCAGTCTTTTGGTTGGACCTATGTGCTGCGTTGCAAGTGGTTAGGCCCCTGTGAACTGGCACAGTCTCGTGGCTATACGTTTGTGCCGCGTTGCAGTCTCGTGGCTAGATCCTTTGCTGCGCTGCAGTCTCTTGACTTCACTCATGATCTACGTTGCAGCCTCTAGGTTAGACCCTTGTGATACGCTGTAGCCTCTAGGTTAGACCCTTGTGATGCGCTGCAGTCTCTCGGTTAGACCCCTGTGATACGTTACAGTCTCTCGGTTAGACCCTTGTGATGCGCTGCAGTCTCTCGGTTAGACCCTTGTGATACGTTGCAGTCTCCTTGTTAGATTCGTGTGGCCACACCTACATTCGTTCGGTTACGGACCCACGTTTGTAGTGTCTTGGCTAGATCCATGTGCTCAACGGTATAGTTTCCTGTTTAGATTTATGTGCCTCATTGCAGTCTCCTGGCTAGACTGTGTCAGATGTGTCTGCCGCGTTGCAGACTGGTTATATGCGTATGATGCGTTGCATTCTCTAAGCTACTTCTGTGTGCTGCGTTGCAGTCTCTTGGTTATAGATCCGTGAATCACGTTGCCAGTCTCTTGGATAGACTTGCTGCATCTGCTGTAATAGCTTAGTTGGACCCGTGTGCTACGGATACCTACATACATAGTGTCCTGGTTAGACCTAGTGCCACGTTGCCGTCCCCTGGATAGACCTGTGTGATCCACAGCAGCCTCTGGTTTTGGTAAAGTCGCTGTGCTGCGGCAGTCTCTTAGTTAGGCCCGTGTGCCACGTTGTAGTCTTCTGGGTACGCTCGTGTGCTACGTTGCAGTTTCCGATGGCCGCTTCTCCACCGTTCAGGGACGGGCGGGAAAGGCTGGAGTGGGGGTGCAGGGGCGGAAGTGGCAGGTCCGGCCCAGCACGGCTCACATTCGGCCGAGAAGTCGGTTAAGGACCTCTAAGAGTTTTTCCTGGTGCCTGAACTTCCTTCGGCAGCGGTGGTCGAGCTCGCTTCAAGGACAACGACCAAACCAAACATCCTGCTGAGCAGTCATCTTACCTGTTGAGATATGATCGGCTTGCAGGCGGAAATAGCTGATAGTTGTCGCTTAATGCGGTCCAGTTTGGTTGTATAACACGATATACGAGTAAACGACAAAGTTAACCTCTCTTATGTCTGGTTGAACAATGTTCATTAACATTTTAGTCATGGTAATTTGAAGCATATCTGTGCTCTAGTGCATTCTGTGCTTCATTCTCAATCCCACCGGCCCCTGGCCAGCGTCACCGGCTGAATAATCGCCCTCTCCGGCCGGCCCTTTCAGCTCCCGCCCGCCGCCGCGCGCCGCCTCCCGGCCATATCTCGGCGGCCGCCTGTGTGCTGTAGGTATGGTACGCGGCTGTTTGTCAGCCAGACCGCCCCCTATCGCCAGGGACGGCCCGAGGAGCACACAGGGACGCCCGCGCGAGGGGAGGGGAGGGTCCACCGGTCCCATAATCGATACCATCAGGATCGCACGCCGCGTGCTCGTTTGAACTTGGCGGTGTGTTTGGTGCGGGGTGTTCGGTGTGCGGGGTGTTCGTTTGGCGTGTTCGGTAGATAATGAGGGACAGAACGGCGTTTTTTAACGGCATGCACAGAGCATTGTAGCTCAGAAAGATGTGTGTATGTTAAAAGGTTAACATCACTTTGCTGACATTTTACCATTGCCATCTTATATGGACCTTGTCACCCGAATAGGTAACTTTCACCACAGTCACATGTTCTATGCCATTCGTAAAATTGGCCCTAAACCTATCGACACAGGCTCCATTGTGCTCATGCTGAACAGCCATTATTGCGTAAAAGAATTTTCCTCCCCGAACCGCGTCATTTTGCGCAATGCCAGTTATCGCCTAGTTATCGAACATTCTGATGATGTCGCGTTTTATGGTGGGCCAGCGTTTTTTTTGTCATTCTCATTCTTCTGAAACTGTTTCGTGTTTGTAAGCAGCGTAGACGCGTTGTTGTGGCCTGTCGCTAATCCACCCTGACCACTGCGGAAAGCAGTGGTCCAGGGACGCTCGTGACAATTGGTGTTGAGGCCGCACCTTTCTCGTGCAAGTAACCCATATACGGCGAGCGCAGCCCTCTACGGGCCTTCGCGTCACCTTCGCTGGCCTATTTCTGCCAGCGGCAAACCAAACCCTCAGCGTGCAAAGGTCAATCGCATGCACAGTCTCGCGCCCTGCTCCGGAGTCGTGAGACATGAATTCCGTGCTGCCGTTTCATCATGCTCGTCTATCGTGGGAACTGGCGCTAACGAATCCCGTCTTGCTCTTAGCAATGTGTTTTTATTTGAGAGCGATCCATTTAACGACGCTATATTTTCGCTTCAGCAGCCCCCCGGCTTCCGCCTCCCTCCCCCCCCCCCTCGCGCGGTCACGGGGAGCCAGCCCTCTCGCCTTGGCTCTGTACCGTGCCGCGGCCGCCCCGCACCGCTGACTCGCCCCGTCCGTGCCGGCAGGTGCCGCGCGCGCCAGTCCCAGCCGCGCCGCCCGCGCCGCCGCTGCGCCAGCTCTGCCGCCGCCAACGCGCCGCAGAGGGGCCCGACGCGCCATGGCAGCCGCCGATGACGTCACGACGCGTGCTCCGACGCCTGAGGACGGGCCCGGGGCGGCCACTGAAGGAGACGGTGAGAGTGACGACGACGAGACGGCACCACCCAGCGAGCGCGGCGCCGACTCCGAGTCCAACGTGGAGTCGAGTCCGGGATCGAGTCCGGAGTCCAGTCCGGAGCTCCGTCAGAAGCACGGCCAGGAGCGGAGTCTGCAGTCCAGTCCGGAGGTGTGTCAGAGGCCGAGCTCGGAGCTCAGCCCGGCGCCGAGTCCCGGGGCGAGCCCCGCGGGCAGCCCCACGCTCGGCTGGCGGTGCGAGCCGGCGGCCGAGAGCCGCTACACCTCGGACGGGGAGGAGAAAGGCAGCGGCCGTGACCCGGATGGAGGCCAGCGCGGCCGGCCCGCCGAGTGTCGGAACACCGTCTTGGGCGACCGCTCCGAGCACGCCGACTGCTCCCAGTCACCGCACGAGTCAGTGGAGTCGGCTGAGTCGGCCGAGTCGGAGTCAACAGTGCCATTGCAGAGTGTTGAGTCTCCCGTCACGTCGCACCGCGCGGAGGAGGCGGGGACGGTGGCGCGTGCCGAATCGCCGGCGCACCCGCTGAGTGAGGCGCCGGCGGAGAGCCCCTCGGAGGACCCCGCGGACCCCGCGGACCCCTCGGAGGACCCCTCGGAGCGCCGGGAGCCGGCGGAGGGGCCCGGCTCGTGCGCCGACTCGCGGCTGGAGCTGGTGCCGCCCGACTCCGACGTCAGCACGGACGATGAGGGCGGCGGCGCTGTGTCCCGGTTCCTGCGCGCGTCCATGAGGAAGATGTTCCACTTCCGTCTGTCGTCGCGCGGTCTGCGCCGGCGCAGCAGCGCCTCGCAGCCGTCGCAATCATCACCGACGCCGTCGACGCGCACTGCAATGGAGACCCGTGCGGCGCGCGCGGCGCGGCGCACCTCCGACGAACAGGTGTGCTGCAGCCCGGCCGGAGACGACACGGACTCGCCGCCGCCGGGACAGGCCGGCGCCACCGGCGGCGGCCAGACCATCCGCATGAGCACGCTGCTGGACCGGCTGAACGGCGCGGCTGCCGGCGCCAGCAGCGCGGCCAGCAGCGCGGCCGGCACCAGCGGCGTGGCGGCCGGTCCCGACCTCATCCAGGTCAGCACGCGTGAGCCGCACCTGCACGACGCGCCGCTGCCGGCCCTGGAGGAATCGGAAAGGTCAGTCGGCCCCCGCCGGGGGCACCGGCTCACTGCCGGAACTGTGTGCTGATATTCGCGGTGTATGTTTGCAAGACATTAACCCCTAATCTATTCCTGTGTAGTGTGTAATACCAATTGGCTTGTAATTTAGGTTCAAAATTAACAGCAAATTTAGATATCAATCATAAGAACCTTTGGATGGCTGGAAAGTGTCAAATTAAGCTAGGACTGCTACCTCAATCACACTATTCTCCACATTTTCTTTCAATGCCAATTGCCATTAATTTCACAAACGAACAACGGTTCCTTTGCAAATGCTTATGGACTGCTCAAGGCAATTCGCCCATTCTAATGTCTATTCATGATATCACTTCTTAAACTCCGCTGACTGCTGGGGTTCCCTCAGCGGTGGTATCGCAGCAAATCGCTCAGCGGACTCCATTAGGTATAAGCTGCCACAATCGGCTAGGCCATGCGTCGAAACTACATGCTTGTGACGCAAACGACTTTTCATTTACGCACTGTTTCAGCTTCCATACTGTCAATTAGGCTATAATGGTAATCTGCTTATACTCTATAAAGATAGTGTGACCATTTGTTCTATAAAGACTTTTTTCAATGATCGGTGAGGCATAGCTTTTTAAATATAACTAGTTGTCACAACAAATTTATAAAGAAAGAACTTATAAACATACAAGGCTCACTCTCGCGCTCGATCCTTTCTTCCTCAAAATACGTCTTACTGGTTTTACAAGCATACGAGTACACCTCTGGAGTATGTGTGGAATGACTATCTCCGGCACAATCGTACTCGATCTGGCACTGTTGTCTCCGCCGGCACAGCTGTTTGTGGCTGTCGACTATTGTGGCCGGACGGCCTGTTCAGCACTGCACGGTGGAGCAGCTCGTAACACAGGAGCGAACAACACTGTCACCACCCACCGACCGCAACTGGGCACTGCATTGTTGGCGTTGATCGAGCGTTGGATTCGCGGTGACACTGGCGCCTATAGCCGTCTAAAGAACCGCGCTGCAATTATAACTTTAACATGCAAAGCTATGCAGCGCGATAACATGCAAAGCTATAGCAAGCTATAAACTGCGGCGGTGGGCACCGTGGTGAACACAGTTTCCACTTCATATGCACGGGCACGAACATCCGCACCGATCATGTATATAGAGAAGTGCGCAGCACGAGCTGTGTAATGTAGCCACTGCCTTGGCGCTCGTGCTGCTGAAATCAGCTGTCGATGTCCTGTTGAGCGTGCCCTTGTAACCGAAACACATTTTCTATGTAAATTATTGTTGGTACGTGCTCGATCGGTATGCATTGATGTGCTCGATTATGTGGGTGAGCCTAATTCGCGAACACACTGTGTGGACACCGATACGGCTCTATCGGTCTTAGTTACAGCAATCAGCCCTGACCCGACCGAGACTGGTGGGCTTATAATCACAGCTCAGTATTCACGACACCACACCAGTTGCGAGCGGCTATTGCGCCGATGCAAAGGGAAGCCATTGCTAAGTGGTTACCTCGAGAGCATCTTTTCTCTGGATATGATGCTGCAAAGACGTATTTGCATAGATGAATCAACAATCATGAGGCTCAGTATTGTGCACGAGGCTTAGTCACCATGCTTTCGTTAAGACCTTGTGTCGTAAACTGCCCGTCCAAGCTGCTCAGTGATTGAGTGCCCTTCACCTGATGTTTCGAAGTCTGAACAATGGTCATCATAACCCGTTTCAAACCGTTTGGTTGTCCGTTATTTGTCTCCGAGGGAATTCACTGGCTATCAGTGACAATGGTCGTTTACAGCCATTTCAACATAGCTGCAAAGTCTAGGTTCATTTTTATTTCCTGAAATATCCTTTGACTTGAATGATAAATCAGTATCTACATATTCAACAAAAATACTATGGCGATCGGATGTCGAGCCATGCGTAGGTATGAACTAGGAAGGGTTATTTTGAAGTTCGGTCACTGTTCACTGGTGTTTGGCTCTTGTGAGGGGCTGCAGTCTCCGGTTCTCGTGGATGCCGCCTGTCGGGGTATCCTGTCCCGCAGAACAGCCTCTCAGTGCGGCACAGCGTATCGATTCAGATCACAGGGATAAGTCCAGTGATCAATGAACATTGGAGACTGCATCACCTCACCACAACGTATCACATCTCGGGGACTTCAACTCCGCATAGGCCTTTTGACGGGCGCAGAGTGCAGATCGTTCGCAGCGGCGAGTGTGATTCAAACATTCATCGCACTAACTCAGCAGCATCACCTCGGCAGCACCTTGGCCTCTGTGACGTCATGGACCCTAATTGGGTGCACTCAAGAGGCCCCGATAAATTAGACCATGCGCTGTCCAGCTGGCCCATACTGCAATCGTGCCGCTTATCACTACTTGGCGAATGAGCCCTCGCCCCTCTCTCTCCCTCTCCCTCTCCCTCTCCCTCTCCCTCTCCCTCTCCCTCTCCCTCTCCCTCTCCCTCTCCCTCTCCCTCTCCCACTCCCTCTCCCTCTCCCTCTCCCTCTCCCTCTCTCTCTCCTTCTCCCTCTCCCTCTCCCTCTCCCTCCCCCTCTCCCTCTCCCTCTCCCTCTTTCTCTCCCTCTTCTTCTCCCTCTCCCTCTGTGCGGACGACGCAGGCGGCGTTTTTTCTTCTGACCGTCACAGGACAGTCTGTATTTTCCTCTGACCGTCGCCAGTGGCTCCAGTTCGGCCGGCGTTGCGTCACGCACTGTGTCCCTCACCCCTCCCCGTTAGTTGGACTGGTCCGCCGCCAGCTACTTCCACTCGCACAGCAGCGGCACTCGCGTAACCTTGCCACCGAAGGCTGGCCGACCCGCCCTGTCACGGCTTCAGGGCCCACTGGAGGCCGCCATCTTGAATTGGACGCGCTGCTGTGACACAAGGGTGGGATAGGTTACAGGAAAATTCCCGGTAGATAGCTGATCGTCAAAGCCGCACTTGAGTTAGATTTGAATAAGTAAGTGTGCTAAGCGGCACCTTCAAACCATCTGGCTTGCATATTTGAGCCAAGGGATAAACTTGGAAAGATACCTGTTTGGTTCGTTGCGCTCCTGATCATAGATTAGATATTCACTCGATTTGCCGTCAGTAAAGCGTCAGCACGTCCTTTGTTGGTGTCTACAGCGCAGTCCAGGTCCGATCAAAACACAAGTTACCTACTGTGTAATCGGACACCACAGCTGACCTTTTTGGCTTCTCATGCTGAGCGCAAACTAGCGGACGTGACTGGCGCATGCCGCGCCTTGACCCGCCCTCTTGTAGGAAGGAGGCCCGTGTGGACAGAGCGTCACGGTTGGCCTCAGTCAGAGGGACGGGAAGGCTCGGGGACAGGCCTGGGTACACCGGACTGACTGCCGAGTCACTCCCGGGGGTCCCGTGAGGTTCTAACTCGCCAACTCTTGCTGGCGCCGTGGTCTGTCAACCAACACCCATATCAGCTCGAAGGAACTTTAAACGAGCTTAGAGACGTGATTATAACCGATGCAGTATTTAGCAGCATTGACATATGATGTTTATGTTTCATTTAGGGATAAGTTTCGCATGCACTCACAGCAAGAGTCCCGATGCCCCCGATGGATGTGTCTCTCGGGGCTTGTCAATGAAGATATGTCTTTTTTGCCTTCTGGCGCAACGCTCAGCCGTGCAGGGCTGCAGGACGGACCGGGACGGACCCCTCTGGGACCGCAGTGTCCTGTCCGCCGTCACACGGCCTCTGGTTTCCCTGCCGGCCCTGTTTCCTGGTGTGAGTCGGGCCCACGGCTCTGCTGACCGGTCCGGCTGGTCTGGTCGCCGGACTGGCGCCACACTTCGCCGCGACGGCGGGGACACGCGGAGAGTCCGACTCAAATGTGACCATCGCACATACTCAGGAAAATTCACCAGCCTATACTCGTCCATACATAATTGCGAAAACTAGCCGCTACAAATGCGTCAGAGCCCCGGGAAGAGATAAATTGGACCGAGGAAATCGACTGCAAGGCGGTTAGAAAATGCTATGAACGATTTGGGCCTAATATGAGTCCAGTATCAACGGTGATACTTGTCGTCTGCCGTGATCAGCCGTAGAGGTTCCGTTGAACTGTGACCGCGGTGTTCGGTGTTTGAGTCCGACAGTGATCGGTATTCGGTGGGATCGGTCGTACCACGATCGATGCCGGTTCGGTTAAACCGTGATCAGTACTGGGTGTGCCCGGACGGGCCGTGATCGGTACTGGGCGGCCTCAGCAGCTCGCGGCCAGTGAAAGTCCAGCGAGATAGCGCGACTACTAGTGTCTCCCGAGGAGAAACCCCACCAGGAGCACATTGCATGGGGCCACGAGGGTGTGCAACTGTGCTCGATTTGCCATGTGGCCATAGATGGGCATGGTTTAATCCTGATTCCCGGTGACACTGCACCTCAATGCAGCCTTCTTTCAATACTTTTAAAGATAGACCATTTTAACCTAACCTTTCATTATTATAGCAGCTTTATCAGCTCACCTTGCATTTAAGGTAAACGGCCGAATGTGTTGGCCTCGGTTGTCGATTTTATGTAACCCTTCATCACCGTGTAGGCACTGTCTGGTATTTCCGTGCTTACCGTCACTGGCCTTCAGAATCTGGTCTCTGATGGCATCTGCCGCCGCCGCTCCGTATAGCCGGTCGGCACAACACGACGCTATTGCGCAGATCGTAATTAGGCGATGCTTCCATTGGTATGCACGAGATGAAGCACTCTGGCCTGCCTGCACGCCAGCTGTTTTCTTATCGGGACACAGAGTAATATTACCCGCTCTGCAGCCATAGGTAGGTATGTTGTCTCAACAAAGCCAAAACAAAGATGACCTTGCTTAATTTTTTGGAGAACTCATTGTTCAAAAGTCACGGAAAAGCCTGTGATTCCAGATACTTATTTAGATATTATTACGGCTCAGAGATTTTCAATCATATCAAAATGGATCGGATGAGGTTAGGTCGGTCTTTGCCTAGCGTTCGATGCGTGATACTGAT